CACTCACGTCTCTATTCTTCTGCCCCTTCCTCATCACGGCCCCCTCCCCCATTCCACCAAACAAGGGCCCAGCTTGTAACCATGGCAACCACCCCAGCGCAGTTCACTGTCTGTTTTCCCAGTGTGCACTTTAATTCAGAATCTCAGCATAACGTTTTGTTTAGCCTTGCACTGACAAGGAAAAGTAAAGTATATGTACTTTTAATAGAGAAATATTCAAGGTCCTGTCGATGCCTGGCAATATCTTACTTCCCTAACTACACACAATTCTGTGTCGTCTCATCAGTCATAGAGAGTGTGACTTCTACCCTTGGAAATTTCATGCATACCCTCATGCAGTGCTTAAGATGTCGGTGGTTGCTTTCTCTACAAGACAGTGATGAAGCAGTTTAAAAGTCCCCATTCATGGATTTCAGGTCAGGCCTTCCCATTGAGTCACTCTGAGACTCTATGGGAGCCTGTATGGAGGGCACAGCTAAGCCAGTCTGATCTCCACAGGATCACTACCACTGGAAGTAATTAACTAGGACATCCATAAATAGATAACCACCAAAAACCTCATCACCCCTAAACTCCCAGTATATACAAGGGGGGGGATTTCAGAAAGACACCTTGTTTTAATGAAGTCCATGTAGGGACATCCTCTTAAAGGGATAGATCACTCAAACGTCTAAATTCTGTCATCATTTACTCCCCCCCTCATGTAGTTCCAAACTCATATGGCTTTCTTTCTGCTGCAGAACATAAAATAAGATATTTTGAACGTTTCGGATTCTTCCGTTCATAATATGAAAATCAATCTCCACAACTTTCAAGATCCAAAAAGGATATAGTGTAAAGGTAGCAGCATGAAATGAATCCATATGCCTCGACTGGTATATTCATTGGTATATTTCATTATAGGAACTAATGGTAATGTTACTGTCACACCAGGGGTGTCCAATCTTGATCCTGAAGGGACACTGTCACTATCCTGCAGAGTTAAGCTTCAATCTAGGCTTGCTGCGATAGTTGGTGTTGCCGGTGTTACCGGTGTTTAGCCGCAACACCGGTTATATCACTTGCCCCCACTGCCGTTTTGATTGTACATTGTAATAAAAATCATTTAGTTCAGTTAGAGAACAGACACTACTAGGGATGCATCGATATCACTTTTTCCATAACGAGTCCAATACCGATACTTTCATTTCTGGTTCATTGCTTTTCGATACTGATAACTATTTTCAGTGCATTTGTAATTTTTTCATAATATATAGGGTAGAGAAACCATAAGAATATGAATCATATTAGTTTGCTTAAATTGCTTAGCAAATATATATTTACTTCAGTTATTTTCATGCTTAATTAAGACTGCTAAAATGTATTGTATGACTTTCTGTTACTTCAGTTCATTCTATTGCTCTATCATATTTTATCTTTCATTTACTAGCATAGCGCATATTTACAGCTGCTCTAAGGACTAAGGATTGGGTTAGCGGTTCAAATGTTTAGATACCAGTGATATATTACAATTCTCTATTCCAATTTTGATACTATAAAAACTACTAGCCTAGTTAATGTAAATTTAAAACATTATAAAAGACAAGTAAGCAGTCAGTAATAAAATAAACTGTGTTTTTAGGTTTTGCAGGTAGGTATAACAGATGTTTTTAGGTACAGAATTTGAATAAAGTAATCAAATGTGAAATAAGACTGCATATTCATCACTCTATAAATTAAATATAAATGGATCTTTATAAAGAGAAGTGAGTGAGTACTTTGTCCTTTGTTTGATTAACCTTAAAACAAAGCAGCAGGTTTATTAGACTTCATTTTTCTGCGTTTCTCTCCATCTTTCTCTCCGTTTCTCTGCATCCACTACACAGTGAATTTTTTTTTAGCAATTTGCACATGCCCTGTTGTCGGTGCGCACACAAAAATCTGTGCTGATGACGTAATTTAGGTCACATGAACTGTCCATGAGCCGTAGCGGAAAGCGGACAAGACAAGTATACTTTTGGCTTAAGCCACAGTTTTGTCCCTTTCACTATATTTGCCACATGCCTGTCAGACTTACCTTCTGTGTGTGAATATCCTTCAGCCGTGACCTTCCACTGAATAAGAACACCCAGCAGCGCCAGCACAGGCCAGACTCCCATGACCACCCACGTGAACCAACACACGGGGCGAGGTGGATCCACCTTCACCCTCTCATAGATGTACCGTGTCAAAGCGAAGAGCTCGACAAAATAATCCACAGTCACAGTCACCACAGCTGATCCGAAGACGGCGGTGGAGATGGTGGTGAAACAGCGCTGCCACTGCAAAGTGAGCACAGCAAACAGCATGCCCGAACCCAGCAGCACACCCAGGGGAAGCCACACTGTCCTCGGGTGGTAAAACTCCTCCAGAACCACCAGAGAGGCGAGGGCGACCAGTAAACCCAGGAGAAGTCCAACCATGAAAAGCCCCACGCTGCGGACCAGCATAGTGACCAAACCGCATAACGTGCCAATGCCCAGGCCGATGCCCACACTGGCCTCCACACTTAGTTGAGTATCCATGACCCTCTCCTTATAGCAGAGCATGAAGATGACGATGGAACCAAACATTAGACCCGTGAGGAACATTACGGCCTTGAAGCAGCGGTACCCTACGGGTGGAGAGGGGAGGATAGGGGAGGAGCAGGTGGGAAAGAAAGAGATAGTTTTGGAAGAGAACATAATATTATTATCAGATAATCAATAAGAATAGTAGTATATATTAGGGCTTGGAAATAAAACAATCTCAAAAGAAAACAGCATCGCAATAAAATATATGTTGATAACAATGATAATCTGTGGGCATTTTTCCTCAATATGGATAATTCAAACAGCCCATCACACAGCAGAAATCAATTTTCGGCTTGCACTTCCATTTCCTACCATAAAGTCTATGCTACAGGTTAAGAAAGCTCTGGAAAGCTAATTTGAGAAAGGCTGTAATCAAATGCACACTGGAACTGGGAAAGTCTTCACAACAAAATGATGATTATATCATATATAATATATATGCAATTAGTATATTACTATTGTATATTAAAAAGTGCTTTATGTAATTTACTGTAATATTAGTATTATTATCATTACATTTTTTAAGAAGTCATTTTTCATCCATGTTTTCAGTCATTTTGTGCAGAATCTTACTTTAATGCAATGCTTTGTTGAAAATTAATTGTTATACTTTCATTTGAATAGATTTTAAAAGATTAATTAAATTGTTCAAGTTTAACGAATTAATTTAATTATAAATAATTGTTGATGATACATTTGTATTAAATAATAAAACAAAACAAAAAAAGAACGCATTTCAAAGATTACATTAAAAGATAGCTTATTCTGTTGAGTTTGTACTTTCCTTCGCCCTTATTGGTATAAAATGAATATTGAGATGAATGATATGGGGGAAAAATTATGTTGAGAAATGTTTTTGGCCATATCGCCTATTTATTAAACGAGATACGAAACGAGACCGTTGTCTCTATTTTTAGAGATACAGTCAATTATTCCAGAAACAGGTCTACTTGAAATCCCAGGCATAAACATTTTATTCTGAAACATTTAAGAGGGATCACCAGAATTGCATTGAGTAAAGGTGTTTGATGCTCTGTGCTATTAATGTCCATCTCGTTGCTACAGTTACTGTAAAAAAAAGTAGCTTTTAAATCGACAGGAGCCTTTCAAAAAGCATTGTGCTTTTCACTGAGAGGTTATCTGCTTTCAAATGATGCAATTAAAAACTGGTGATAATGGCCCAAATTGGCAGCAGAAGGGCAAGAAGAATACATAAAATGTTTTAACATTTTAAGTCACATTGGGTCTGAATGCCACAGAGAGAAGAGAGTCTATATGCGGCTGTTCGTCACAGCTAAGATGTCCTCTCTCTCTCTCTCTCTCTCTCTCTCTCTCTCTCTCTCTCTCTCTCTCTCTCTCTCTCTCTCTCTCTCTCTCTCTCTCTCTCTCTCTCTCTCTCTCTCTCTCTCTCTCTCTCTCTCTCTCTCTCTCTCTCTCTGCAAGTAATGGGCAGTGAAAGCAAATTTCACAGTCAAGTGAAAGTGATAAAGCTTATCTAATAGAGAGGGACATAGATTTGTCACCCTTGTCTGGTTGTCACATTCAGATGGTTATTATGTGAATTAAATTTGGCTATAACAACCACAGCTGAAACGATGTTTGTGATAACGAGACAAAGACATACCCATGCATTCAGGTCATGCCAGAATCTGGGCTCGTTCTGAGTAATACTTCTTATGTAAATCTGCGTTTCTCCAAACCAGTCTGATCTACTGTCTGCAATCTTCTAAATATAATCAGTTAATTCATCCTTTGCAACCTACCGAAGAAGCAGTAGATGATGCCAAAGAGGCAACACATGGAGCAGACGACAGACGGGACCACCTCATAGCGCCGTTCAATGTCCTCATCACAGTTGAACAGACGGTCTGGACTCCCATCTTGAGAGGGTGGGGAGAACTTAAAGGCCAGGATCTGGGCAGTGGACGTCATGCTGTCAGTGTGTGTTAGAGAGTGTAACGTATCTTTACGGGAGCCGAGGAAACAGGGAAAGTGGGGTCATGTGGAAGGTAGAGGGTGCAGAGAAGGTTCCCATCCACAGCAATTTGCCTGTTCAAAGAGATAAGATATTAACTCATGAGAGTCAGAGACAGTTTGACTTTACCTGTCAAAATAAACAGGGCATAGCCAGATTAAATTTAAAAATTCTCTTTGTGACAACAACATCAGACAGTCCAATGCCAGACAGCTGTCTGAATCCATTCAACTCTTGCGTCAAGTCATATTTTCACTTCATTTAATCGTATATAGACTCTTTTCACTCATTAAAGGAGAACTCCGGCGCAAAATGAACCTTTGGTCTAATTACACATTGTTTCCTAGTCAACCGTTATCTGAGATTTGTTTTCATGATTATCGAATGTAAATAGTTTTATCTCTAAAAACAGTTTAGCCTATAAAGCTAGTATAACGCTAGTATATTGGGCATAGTGTAATGACAAATAAAAATCGCTTGTTAATACCACTAACAAGGCTGAAAATAGACCCACACTAACACGGTAGCATAATGAGGGTCCCTACCTTCAAACCGAAGCATTGAGAACTTTGTAAGTGTACAGACAGTTTAATAAGAAGATATTTTAAACATACAGTCAACTTCGCGTATACAGGCAGAATCCATCTTTGAAATACAGCCTTTACCAGTCGATCTACGAACGCCGATCCAAGTGCGCTGGTGAGATGTGAACGAGCTATAAGTTGTGATAAGGTGAGCGCGAACAGCAGGCTTGGATCGGCGTTCGTAGATCGACTGGTAAAGGCTGTATTTCAAAGATGGATTCTGCCTGTATACGCGAAGTTGACTGTATGTTTAAAATATCTTCTTATTAAACTGTCTGGACACTGACAAAGTTCTCAATGCTTCGGTTTGAAGGTAGGGACCCTCATTATGCTACCGTGCTAGTGTGGGGCTATTTTGAGCCTTGTTAGTGGTATTAACAAGCGATTTTTATTTGTCATTACACTATGCCCAATATACTAGCGTTATACTAGCTTTATAGGCTAAACTGTTTGTAGAGATAAAACTATTTACATTCGATAATCATGAAAACAAATCTCAGATAACGGTTGACTAGGTAACAATGTGTAATTAGACCAAAGGTTCATTTTGCGCCTGAGTTCTCCTTTAAAATATATAGTGGCATTGCCTGACATTTTAAAAACTGAAATTTGCTATGGATAAATAACATCTAGCGTCAACACACTGGGACCAAAGAGCCCTCAAAAGCTTATTCAAACTGCCTCAGTACACCTAATCAGCGAGAGAGAAAAAAAGTATTATAATTCTAATCTAAAACTAAAGAGTGCTTTATATTATTATCTCAGTGAATGTATGAGCTGCTTTAGTTGACAGCAATTTCATTTGCTAGTGTGTACTTCAAAGAAGTATGGTGAGTACTTGTTAATGCACAAGCCCAAAGGACAGAACAAAATATTCATGTTTTACAAAATATTAATTTAAGATTTTCCACAGAACTCCTTCTTCATTTTACATTAAACATCCTAACACAAAAGACTACATCTCTTTGTCAATGAGAGAGTTTGCTTGCTTTAAAAAAAAATTAAAAAGTCCATTACACCATTCATGGTCCATTGCTACAATATGGTTGAAGGGGGAAAACTGCCTCATTTAATTTAATGTAATGTAGGTTCCCTCTACGATTCAGAAGTTAGGCAATATACTATATCAATTTATTTTTCATAGGGTTTAGTGCCTTTTGGCATGGTAATTTAATTGCTGAAGTCTGAATCACAAAGCTAAATTTATATATGTTGGTTCCCTCTGCATTTCAGGCAACCTTTTTGATTCAGTCGTGCAAATATATTGCAATGCCAAACTGCAACAAACCCTACTGGAATGCAATGAATAAAAGTATACATTTTGAATGAATTTAATATTGTTACAGGAAAGCCTTCAAATAACCTCTCCAAAAAAACTCTCTCTCTCGTCGTGCTTTGACGGTGGCTTGAAATTACTTTTTCCAACTTAAAAATCTGTTGAATGCAGGAAAGACAAAAATTATTATGCCGCTACACATATCTTTGACTTAGGGGTATTCATTAGTCAAATTCAAACTAAAATCTCTCAGATATTTGACATACACTTAAACTTGCCCTTTGGCATTTACTTTAGATCTGTCAGAAACAAATATGCTTCATTAATGAACGTTGACATTATTTTCATCAGTGACTAAAAAGCTGAACTGAAAAGTCAGGCAGTGCTTTTTTAATACATTAATGTAAATGTAAAAGCACCATTTCCAGCAACAGTCCTGTTTATTTACATCCTGATGCATATTTCAGAACAGTATAGTTCTTCAACTGTGTGACAGAATGCTAGAGGTAACCTCATATCGGCAGATTTGGCAATGAAGCTAGAGATTATTATTGCAAGTCGTTTACTACACGCAAGATAACTTTTGAGTTATGAGAGATTCTCCAGTGAAAATGAATGTCGTTTAGTGCAAGAAATGCTATAGAAAACAAAGCCTTTATATAACTGGGATAACAATACCTCACTTCCTGTTTGTTGTCATAACAACAGAGTAATTCTGGGATGCTACAAGTTATACTTGGCTGAGATGAGGGAGAGCGACCTGCCACCATGGCAACAGCCTGAGAACCAATCAATGTTTAAGCCTGCCTTACAGTTTTCCCAGTGCTGGTGCTTAAGGAAACCCCTTCCCTTCTGCACCCAAGACGTGCAAATAACAACTTGGCCAACTTAGGAAGATATAGGAAGAAAAAGAGAGAAATCAAGATAAAGTGATCAGAAGACCAAAAACATAACCAGCTTAAGCTCTGTGATTGGGAACCAGCTGGTTTCTGCTGATCCAAACTGGTACTGTATGTGTGATGGCAATGTCACTTGATCTAACTCTGTTCTTTTGCTTTCGCAGAGTAAAAGAATTGTGGACAGAAGATTGGATGATTTTATTTGTTTTACCCATGTTGTTAATACATTTACAATTCAAATATTGAATTTTTTTTTTAATGTAAAATGATGTCTGTCAATATTATTGGCTTATGTTCAGATATTTTTATTTAACACAATACCGATAATGCTTCACAAATGAATTGTAGTCATGTTAAAAAAAAAATAGGCTACTTAAAAAGTAAACATTACTCAGTATTTTAAATGAGATAATATTAGCATTGAAATTATAGTGTTTTTATAAGCTTCACTTAAGAAAATTTTACAAAGTTTGAGCATAATTTACTTGAAACAAAGTAAACTTTACTTCCAAATTTCTAATTAAATTCACAAAGAATTGTGTGTAGCCTTTGCTTGAAAACACACTGTTTAATTTAATGGCTGGGTCAACCAGCCATTCACTAGCTTTGACCAACTAATGGCTAACCTGGACCAGTAACTTAATATCCAGCTTGGATCACCTAGAAACCAGCTACCAGTTCAAAACTATCAGCTTAAACTTTATTTTTCAGCAGGGAAAAAGAGAAACGGGGGGGGGGGGGGGGGGGATAGATATAGAAGATGAAAGAGAGCGAGAGAGAGAGAGAGATCATTTTATTAAGCCATGTTTGCCTTCATCCATGCATGGGTAAACTTGCAGCACAGTTCAGAAAGGCTTGTGTTACAACAAGGAAAAATAAATCGATCTGGACCAACACTCCACAACAACTCTCAGCACTCAGGCGAAAAATTCATCACTTGGATGGAGAGACAGAAAAGGATAACTTTACGTGAAATTTCACCACTGGAACAGCCTGAGAAAACCACTTTCAGGTATTACTCCATCTTCATGCAAAGAGCATTATTCAACACACACAGTCTCTGAAGAAAAGAAGCTGTCTTCAACCTCTTTCCAATCACTAAAAAAACTCAAATCTCTGTTGTTCTCTGTCTACTTTATGATGGTACCTTCGGTACGTCCCATTGCACTTCAGATCATGGGGAACGAGTCGTTGTCTGCCTCAGGTGTAGATGTCAGTCATGATGTAGAACAAAAGGCTCTATTGAGCTTGCGACTTCACATGAATATTTTACCAAAAGGCCCGCAGAGAGAATGTCAGCTCGACCTGTGTATATATTATGCACGCGGTATGTACTGTATGTGGCCTGCTCATTAGATGGAAAATGGCAGATCAATGTAAACAGCTGCACTGAACAATAACAGACAATATGATGGGCTTGAGTACAGCCTATAGAGACTGTCTCTGAAACTAGCTGCCTTGCTTGAGAGCACAAATAACGACTTGGGATAAAAACCAGAATGTGAAAAGCCCAGATCTATGCTACAAAAAGCAAATGTGTCAGCATCTAGGTTAACTGTAACAGCAGCCACTATGTAACTGGTAATCCTGAAAATGCATCATGCCACTATGCACATCGGGCAAGAATCAAAGATGACAGGATAAGGTAAATACCAATCCAGCTGGAAACAAAACCAATTGGTTATTACATGAGCTGAAAACAAAATGAGCTAAATCATAAGAACAATCCTTTATTTAAAACAGCTACTCTCTCACTAAAAGGGATAGTTCACCCAACAAAAAAAATGGCAATTCTGTAATTTACTCACCTTCATGTCACTCCAAAACTGTATGACTTTCTTTTTTCTGTGGAACATATGAGAAGATATTTTGGGAAATGTCTTGGAAGTCAATGGTCACCCAAACATTCTACAAAATATCTTGCGTTCCACAGAAGTAAGTAAGTCAAACCGGTCAAAAAAATTAATTTTGATTTAACTATGTGTCAATGAAAAAAAAGATGGCTCTTGGTGACATTATAAATATATATATATATATATAACATTGATCAGGGAACATAAACAGAAGCTCAACTGAACCTGCTTGATGCACGAGAACAAACCTCTTGAGGAAGCTCAAAAGCTAGCTACATAACATAAGAATGAACCTCATTGGATCTAGCAAAAGCTCAAACGTGCTGCGTAACACGAGAATGAACCTCATTGGTTCTTACAGAAGCTCAAACGTGCTGCGTAACACGAGAATGAACCTCATTGGTTCTTACAGAAGCTCAAACGTGCTGCATAACACGAGAATGAACCTCATTGGTTCTTACA